ATTTATTTCAAAAAAGATTTTTTTAGTATGCTTTCTATATCCTTTTAAATTCTGTAAAGTCTGTGGTAATGTCTCTTAGATCTTGATACTGTAATTTAAAAAATGTATAATTGATATTGTGTAATAGGAAGAAAGGTCTAAAGGAGCAGGGGAAGTGGGAGGGGTAGAGGAAAGGAAGGAAGGGAAAAGAAAAACTATGAGAAAAGAAAAAAAATGGAAACAAAGTCTTTGCAAATAGGGAAGGGTGGAAGGGGTGAAGGGAGGGCAGGGGAAAGGGAAAAAAATGAGAACCAAGATACTCATGTAAAGGTACAAGATCCCAATGATGAATGTAGGTGTATTTTATACCTAAATTGTACCAATAAACTTAATGGGGGGTGGGGTGGGGAAAGACAAACACAGGAAAGGAAAATAGGAAAAATTACTATAAAAACAACTTCCATGGGAAAGACCTGTTTCTCATACCATTGCCCTATTATACCCGTAGGTGAATGGAGGTTGTTAAGGACAAACAAATGAACCAGATAGTTAGAGTTTATATGAAAAACCTGATGGTTATGTATGCCTTGTTCTATTAATTGTAGCTCCTTTTATGTCTCTGGAGCACAAAATTAATTTTTGAGAGGAATTAAAATCAGAATCTCCCTGTAATATTTCATACAAATTCTGTAATTGAAAAGTTGCTATCCCTGTTTTAGGCCTAATCCAATTAATATCACCTAATAATTTTTGAAAATCACTTAGCATTTTTAATTTGTCTGTCCTAAATTGTATCTTTTGTGGCTTAACTGATCGTTCTTCTAACAGAGTACTCAGGTAAGTATAAGGCTCAAATTGTTGAACCTTTTTGGGTGCCATGCTCAATCCAAAATGCACTAAATCCTTTGCAATAGCAAAGGGCTGTAAAAGTAGCTGTTGTATATTCTCAGAGATTAATATGTCATCCATATAATGTGTTAAATACACAGTAGGAAATAATTTACGAGTAGCTCGAAGAGCCTGTGCTACAAAAAGCTGACACAATGTGGGGCTGTTAGCCATTCCTTGAGGCAACAAAGTCCACTGAAAGTGCTTCATGGGTTCTTTAAGATTTGTACTAGGTACCGAAAAGGCAAATCGAGGTCGGTCACTTGGCCACAAAGGAATGTTGAAGAAGCAGTCTTTTAAATCTGTAATTATAAGCGGCCACTTCTGGGGGATTGCCACTGGGTTTGGTAAGCCAGGTTGCAGTGCCCCCATTGGAATGTGGCTTGCATTAACTGCACGTTAAGTCCTGAAGCAAATGCCATTTGCCTGACCTTTTAGGAATAACAAAGATAGGTGTGTTCCAAGGGCTCACAGATGGTTCTAAATGCCCCTTGTTAAGTTGTTCTAATATGAGTTGCTCTAGAAGGGTTAGTTTCTCCTGTGGTAGGGGCCATTGATTAACCCACATGGGATCATTTGATTTCTATTATAAAGGCAAGGCTGCCTTGGGCAGAGAAACTTCTTCAGTAACCCCAACTAAAAATTTTGATCATATCCAATTCCAAAGCCATTATTTTTGTGTTTCTGTTCTATAGGCTGTGTTGTTCCCTGAAGCTGCTTGCCTAATACTTTTCCCGGTTCATTTCCCAGTTTAGACATCATCTGTTGGCCCGGTGAAGTTTCAGGGGGCAAAGTAGTCACTATGACTCTCCATTCTTCCAATAAATCTCTGCCCCAAAAATTTACAGGTATGGGAGCTATGTAAGGACAAATATGTCCCAATTGACCATCAGGCTCTTCCTAAGGCAGAGGAATGGAGCTTTACAAAATTTGTTGGGGGGGCGCCAAGGCCTACCAGAGATGTTTTCGTTGTTTTTTTCCCCCAAGATGATGGCCAAAAACATGCGCCAATCATGGACCCGTCTGAGCCCATGTCTATGAGTCCTGTAAAGAATTTGCCATTCAATTTAATTTTGCACATGGGGCAGTTTTTGGAAATCTCTTGGGTGAAATAAATCTCTTCTTTTTTTGGTATATCCTTTTATTGGTACATTTTAGGTGTACAATATAAGGCTTTTAGATCTTTGTTTTTATATGTGATTGCCTGAGAAATATCTTTGTCCACAATTTTCTGGGGTGGGTCTCATAGTACAGGACCACTGGCTTAGCATTATTGATTGCTTACACTGCATTGATCTCTACTGCCAAAGGCCCTTCAGGAAGACTACTAGTTTTTAACTATAAAGGGTGATTAAAATATATGGTGAAGTGAATAAATTCAAAAAATTATTACAGTAAAAGACACGTTGTTAGGGCTGGGGATTTAGCTCCGTGATTCCAGTGCCTGCCTCGAAAGCTCAAGGTCCAGAGCTCGATCCCCGGTACCCAAAAAAAAAAAAAAAAAAAGACACATTGTTATCAATCACCCTCAAAATCTAACCCCTGGCTTTGAACACAAAGCCCACACATCCCATTGTCCTGCCACTTCCTGCAGCAGCTCTGCAGTCCCCTTTACTGAGGGTCTTTAGCTTCGCTCTCCTGCCTGCCTTGATGTCCTGAATGGATTCAAAATGTTTCCCTTTCATGGTCATTTTGACTCTGGGGAAGAGCCAGAAGTTACACAGTGCCAGATCAGGTGACTAAGGTGGATGAGGACACAGCATTGTGTCTTTATGAGCTGTCTTTTTTTGTATGGCGCTCAGCAGCAGCATTCACTGTATATTTTATCACACCTCGTAAAGACCCTCAGGAAAGAGGACTCCAGAGCTGCTGTGGAAAGTGGCAAGAATGATGGAATAAAATGTGTTTGAAGTGAGAGGGAGGATTTTGAGGAGGATTAATGGTGTCTGTAATAAATCTTTAAAAATTTAAGCATTCACCTTAGTTTTTGATTGCCCCTTGTGCATTATAGGTGTATGAGTGTGCTTCTTTCTTAACAGCAAGATGATGTTTGTTAAAAATCTTAAATATTTAGGCAAAGATGATTTTATTTAAATATTTATTACTATCCATAATCTATAGAAAGGCTTTTTTTTTGGTACCAGGGATCGAACTCCGGACCTTGCGCTTTCGAGGCAGGCACTGGAACCACGGAGCTAAATCCCCGGCCCCTGTAGAAAGACTTTTGACACAAACCAATTAGGGAGACCAATTGTTGAAAACATTGCAGCAATTCCTTATTGTGATAGTGGCCACACGCTGAGGAATTGTCCGTCCATAAGCTACATAACACATTTCTACCTGTGGTTAATTTCAGGTAGTGTTTTCAGTATTTTTTTTTTTTTTTTGGTACTGGGGATCAAACTCAGGACCTTGTGCTTTCGAGGCAGGGGGCAGCACCACTGAGCTAAATCCCCAGCCCCTAGTGTTTTCAGTATGGAAGAAGTGGGACTGTGGGTTGACCAGAAGTTCCTTTTGGTACAAGGCTTTAGCAGAAAAACATAAGATTCTTTTTACTGTGACAGACGCATCAAATTAAAATTTATATTCACTCTGAAAAAAGACTGATGTTTATCAGACTTGAAGGAAAAGAACCCTAATAAAACCATAGCAATAGTAAATAATAACGGAATCAAAAGCCAGAATTGTAACGTTGAGCTTATGTAATGTTGAAGGGTGTCAGTGATATCATGCATTACTTTTAGGCTTAGGGAAATCAGCCTTGTATGTTACCTTAATTTAGTTCAAGTGACAAGAGTTTAAAATGTTTGCCAAATGGCCAGGGTTAATGTGGCTCAGTCTCTTTAACATTTTGTATCAGGTTATGAAAATCTCCCGAGCACCTCTTTGGCCTATGACAAGTAGAAATGATCTGCTGCCTGCCTTGAAAGTGCAAGGTCCCGAGTTTGATCTCTGGTTCCAAAAAAGAAAAAAAACAAAAAACAAAAAAACTCCAGAAGTAGAAATGATAAAATTTCTGCCTGTCCCAGTATCACAAGGAAGCTGCCTTAGGACAACAAGAGAAGAACCGATTTTAAAAATTATCTTTACAAAGGATTTACTATGGTACCTCAGTTCACGAATTTACTTATTTCCACAATTCTGGTTGCAAAACAGATTGGATGAGAATGGAAACATATTTCCCCATAAGGTCAACATTAAATCTAACCATTGCATTTGATTGAATTCTCATCCAATTCAGTTTGTGACCAGAATTTTGGAAAGAATTAAGTTCATGAGCTGAGGTGCCACTGTGTTTCCTGTGTGAGTCTGCCTTGGCTCCATGGGAAGGGAAGCACGGCTGCTTTTCTCAAGGTATAATTTCCCTGTTTGTTCTTCAGATGACACAATTATCTTCCACTTTACCCATCGTTGTAGTTGAAGGCATATTTTGAAGGAAGTAGTGTTCTGTTTATCTGGGCACTTTAGGCTATATAAAAAGCATCTTCCCAGCATCTCCATTATATCAGCATACTTGTGGACATGCTGCCACCTGGCTGGGACCCTTTGCAAGGCCTGGCTGTATTATTGGGGGCTGTTCAGTGCATCACAATGTTTTTGAGGTTCTATAATAGTAGATCCATTTTCTATGAGTTTTCAGTATTTTCCGCTCCCATTTATGGGTACTAATGAATGCTTTGCTTTTTATTCTTACAGTGTTTTTACAAATGGAAAATTATTTAGGCCACTTATAAAAATTATCATACCCAAATTCAGCCTGTCAGATTGGAGTAGTGTGCTGGCCACGATCGGAGAAAAAGTCTTCCCTCTTGGAGGAGTGAGGAAGTAAGGAGACTCCCCTACTTGGGTAGTTTTTAAATGTTTTTATGAGCATTTCCTTCCTGGACCATCTATTGTAAACTCTGATTGTAATAGTGCCAGCTGAGTCCAGAACTTTCCTGTCTATCCAAAGCAGGGTGGGATGAACCCCCAGAACCTGTGGCCCCCCAGATCCTCTGTCCCCGCAGTGATCCAGTGGGGTACCTTGGATGGAGGCTGGGTGGGATAGAACAGGGGTCTTTGGAAAGGGAGGGACTGAGCCTCCCGCCCAGGGAAGGGAGCATGCAGGGTGAGGATATCCACCAAACATGGATACAAAATAGTTTATTTAAAAATGTTCTTCACAAGGGCAGGAGGAACTGCTGGGGGTTTCTGCTGGACTGGCATGGACCTGTCCTGCCTCTGCACTCTGACCCTGGGTCAGAGGACAAGCTCAGTATCCCCACCCAGTGGAAGGGGCCAGCCTTTAAAGCAGAAATCATTTTTCAGTCTTTTACCATCTGTGATGGGTAAGCTTAATTGTGTCATCTTGATTGGCTTGGGAGCCATCTGGAGGAATAGTAATGTGTACTTCTGGGTGTGTCTCGGTGATGGGTTTGTACCTGGACCCTGCCCCTTCCTCTCTGGTGCTGTTCCACTGCTTTGCTTTCTGCCCACCATGAACTGAGCAGTCTTGCTCCCCTGTGCCCTTCCACCATGATGCCTTGGAGCAGCTTACCATGTACTGAATCCCCTGAAACCATGAGCCTAGATAAACCCAATGGATTCTTGTCATCTGGGTGTTGCCACTTCTCATTCTTGTTGCTGAACTTTTCCTTATAGATCCCATTTCTTTGTCCCTGTTTCCCTCTAGGGGAGTTACCAGGTTTTATCTTCCAAATTGTAATTTATTCTTTCCCTATGTCTATGCCAAAATCCATCTCATTAATGTGCTGTTTCTGCTATTCTAGTTTTTGGTTTTTTTCTTAATTTTTACTAATATGCTTTTGTAGTGCCTAATGATTCTATTCATCATGGGGAATTGGTATATGCACATAACACATCTTAATTCTTTTCACTTCCCCTCCTCTCTCCTTTTCCTCCTCCCCTCTATCTCTCTTTTTTTTTTGGTACTGGGGATCGAACTTGGGTCCTTGCGCTTGCACAGCAGGCGGCAAAACCACTGAGCTAAATCCCTGGCCCCTCCCCTCTGTCTCTTGATCTTCTTCCCATTTGCAGAATCTGCTCTACTAGTTTCAAATCAGTCTCTCTGTTTTCCATTTCATGGTTTCCTGTTCTTATTTCATGTTGGCAATGTCTCCTTTTGTTTGTAACATTTTCACAGTGACGTGAGTTCTCTCTCACTCTGCCTGAGCCCCGGAGCTTCAGGTGACCCCCTCCTTACACTGCGGGAGCCGTGTAATGTCCTTCGCCATGCACCTTCTCACGGCCCTGGTTTGCTCCTGGGACACTTGCTCCAGCTGTCTGAGTCCCCAAATGTCCCAGGGCTGTGAAGGGGAGAGAAGAACAGGACCCCAAGCACTGTGTTCCAGTGGAATCCTCTGTCAAGTGTCATGGCCAGTGCTGGGGGCTTCTCGTGGCTGTCCCTTCATGGGGCCATCTCAGGTAGTGGCTCTCAGAGGGCCCAGGAGCACCTGCATCTGTGGCACTGCAATGTGTGAGGCATAACATGCTCATCCCTGTCCTGGAATTGGGGTCAGAAGTAGCTGCAGTGGGGCTGCCGTCTGGGTTTCCCCAGACTCCACACCATCTGGGGACCCCTGGGGACACCTTGGGGCATCTTCACCTGTGGCACTTGTTCCACGTGTCCTGCATCCATTCTCCACCCTGGACTCACTGCCCCCATTCATGACCTCATGTCTCACCCTCGCCCCGCTCTGAGTCCTGCTCTCTCTTCCTTTGTCATGCCACCCTCAGTGGACTGTTGCCAGGATATAGCTCCTCCTACCACTCCAATCTTCCAGAGAGCAGCCTGTCCCTGCAGTGCCTGTCCCCTGCAACCTGCCCTTGTCCCGCACATCCTCCTGCTCTGGCTGCATTTACCCCGTGATGGGCAGACCCCTGTGTTCTGCTGTTTTGCGGTGGCCCCTCCTGCAGCCTTGGATGCCTTCATCCCCTCTTTACATGGTGAAATCCCAGCCATGTGCCGCCCTTTCCACAGATCGTCTCACCTTGTGAAGCCATTGCATCTTGGAACCTGTGCTCACTTTCCTTTACTAGGAAATACCTGAGACAATCAACTCAAGAAGTTGCCCAGGCTGGGCTGGAATTGTGATCCTCCTGACTCAGCCTCCCAGAGTACAGGTTTTTAAAATTATGCACAAGGGTTTGAAAGCTTTTCCAGAACATGTGAAGCTCTTGGTTGGTATACAATTATTATTATTATTTTTTGGTACCGGGGCTTGAACTCAGGACTTCTCACTTGCGAGGCAGGTGGCAGCACCACTGAGCTAAATCCCCGGCCCGGTATTCAATTAAATTTAACTAACAGTATAAGCCAACTTGCATTCACTTTAGCTGGTAATAAAAGAAAAAAAAATTAAAAAGGGCTGGGGATGTAGCTCATTATGAAGACCTTGGGTCCAATCCCCAGTGCTGCAGAGAAACAAAACAAAACCAGAACCTAAAAGTGGAAAGTGTACGTATCCAGGAAGAGCTGCTGTCGCAGGGTTTGAGTGACCACCCGGGTCCCACTTGGTGGCGAGTAGGTGTTTCTCTGTAGTTCCCACACTCATGGTGTCACAGACAACAAACATACTCGCCCCTATGCTCCTGGTCCTAAAGTGTATCTTGCTTTTCTTCCCACCTTTGCAGGTTATTTACTATGAATGGACATCTTTTGGATAACTCTAAGGATTTGCAGGACAATCATTTCTATGTTGCCGTAGGGCTGGAAACCTTCAAACACTTCCCTTATTGGAGGTCCCCAAGAGTACCCAGTGAGGTCCGACAGCGAGTACGTTTTATACCATCCCTTCCTGGGTTTTGGTGAACTTTGCCCTTTTCTCCCCTGTACCTACCTCTTAATAATATGTCCAGTTCAAAAATACCTATTGGTTTTTTTGCTGTAGTGAAATGGTGATGCTCTAATCATGTATAATTCCATTTTGGATTTTAAAGATTAGGCCCAGATGAACCACCCTGCTTTGATAGAGTCCCAAGGAGGGTCCCTTCTCATGGTGACCCTGCTGCCTTTTCTTTGGGACTTGGGAGTCCTAGAGATCAAGAGTGGAAATGTGGGAAATAGCCCCAGAGCTGGTCCCAGAACTGAGTGGAGCTGGCCCACATAGCACACAGAGCCCAGGGCTCTGTCTCCTTACCTGGATTCACTTTTCTTTACCTGAAGAAATACAGGTTTGTGCCGGGCATCAGGCTCCTGGTGGGGGAAAGCTGTGATTCTCAGTGGTACCAGGGCACGACCAGTGGGTGTGTCTGTGGGCACAGAGTGGGGAACAGAAGAATGGGGATGATGTTGGTGGGGGACCTCATTTCACTACTCGGAGAACGGCATCACGGTCCTTTCTCTGTGCCCTCCAATTCTGCTGCCTGGAAAGAAAGCACTTTAATGTGGGGGAGGTTTAGCATTCCTTTGTAGAACTCTGCCAGAACGATGCCTTGTGGGTTCACTCTGAGGCAAGAAAACCTCACACCTGGGCTCTGCATGGCCTCCCTGATGCCTATAAGACCTCTGGTTCTCTGGTCTTCAGAGAACTACTCCCAGCTATCTGTCCTTGGGAGGTCAAGGGAGGGGTCATCTGGCTAATATTCCAAGAGGGAACTGCATGCGCCACTTCTTTAAAGAAATCTCATGAAGCTCACTGTGATGGTGCAAGCCTATAATCCCAACACTCTGGGAGGCTAAGGCAGGAAGATTGCAAGTTGTTGCCCAGCCTGGGCAATTTAGTGACTTAGCAAAGCACTGTTTCAAAATAAAAAATAAAAAGGGGCTGGTGATATAGCACAGGGACTCTGAGCGTAGCCGGAGGGGACCGTTCAGGTTGTATGGATTTCAATCTCGCCTCTGCCTGTGGTTGGGTGTAGGACACAGAGTAGAACCTGCCTCTCACTGAGCCTCAGTTTCCTTGCCTGCTGCTTCACTCACTGGTTATGGGGCGAGCTGCTCAAAGAAACATGTTTGTGAAAGTGTCAGAGATTTTAAGAATGTTAGGCAACCCCCATCCTGTAGAAACCTTAGGGCAGAAGTCACTTGTAAGCCTACTGCCCTCATACACAAGAAATGGCTTTTGGAGGTCTCGGGAAGGAAGCAGAGCTGACTCCCTGGGCCCTGCCTGCTCCTGAGCTGGGACCCCATCCTCTGAGGCTGGCAGGCCCCCTCCAGGCCTGTCCCCCGAACTGTAGGGGTACAGCCTATAGCTGAAGATGGTCTGGATGGGCTGAGCTTCTGCATCCAGGCTGTTTTATTTTTCAGAAGGTATGCAGACTTGGAAAAGTGTCCACAGAGAAAGAAAAAAGTAAGTAGTTTTTTTTTTTCTCTTTTGGTACCAGGGATCAAACTCAGGACCTCACACTTGCAAGGCAGGCGGCGGCAGCACTGAGCTAAATCCCTGGCCCATTAAGTAGCTTTTTAAAGAAGAGGTGACCACAGTGGCTGAGTGTGGTGTCTCCCGAGGGTGTGTTGCATGCTGATGGCCCCAAATTGTAGACCGAGGTTCCTGGGCATATTGCCAGGCTTGGAGAGGGGGCAGATGCACTCCATGAATGAGGAAGACGGGGTTTGGTTCATACGTGCAGCTCAGGGTCTACAGCCAGGAGGCACACGAGGAACCTGTGATACAATACAGGGAAAGAGGTGTGAAGGTGAAAACAGAACCAAAGTCGTATGAGACAGGTAGGGGGAAACAGAGGCACTTTGGGAAGGCTGAGTGTGGGCTCCTGTGGGGCTGAGGCACTGAGGTGAGAAGCAGCTTGCTCTGTGTGTGTGAATGTGTGTGCACATGCATGTGCATGTGTGTATCGACACACAATTTGCTGTTGTAGCATATGCATGTGAAAGAAGGAAGTACCAGGAGACAGGATTAAAGAGGAAGTGAAAGTCTGACTGGAGGGCCCTACTGTCCTTGTGATGGGTTTGTACAACTCTCACACTCACCACGACCATCTGTGCCCCGGCTTGGCTCATGGAGCTGACTTCCTTCCAAAGCACGTCTTCTGAGCACCTTTTGATAAATTTTATTAGTGATTTCTACATGGCAGCCTGTTAAGTGAGATTGCCCATAACGTTTCTTTCTTATGTCGTCCCTGGCTGGCTTTTGTTTTTTGAACAAGAGATTTTGCTGAATCAACTGTTACTTATGTAGCTTCCTGAGTGGAAGTTGATTTGTGGAATTTTCTTTCACCCAGGAAGGTCTCAGCAGTCTTTGTTGAATGGATGAAGGATGAGCATTGGAGTGGGAAAACGACAGGCCTTCTGTGTACCCCACCTAGCTAGCCGGAGTCTTAACAGTTTTCCTCTGCAGCTTCGGCCAGGGCTGCTGCCGATGGCCTGGGGGAATTGGTGGCACTGAAGTCTGAGTGGTGACTGTCACTTACCACGGTGATGCAGCCTTCCAAATCCCATCTTCAGTGGCTGTGGAAACCTCAGGACACTGTGACCCGCTAGTGTAGGCTTGTCGTTGCATCCTTTCCATAATCTCCATTTCATTACGTTTCTTTGACTTTGGTTCTTCATAAATAGTGATGCAAGTTTTTCCTTTTGTTAGATGTTTATTCTGTCAGCTTAACATTTGAGGCATGAAAAAAAAACATTTAGGCATGTTTGTTCTGATGCTGTCTATGTTCTCTTGTTCCTCTTCTTGAAATCTGTTGCTGGAGAATTAATCAGTTTTGGTAAAGATTTTTAAGAAGATTCCTAAATATTGGGATGATCACAAATCAGGGACAATCATAAATCATGGCATAAGTCGCAGTGCAAAAATGTGTTATTTTGGGAGCAGGGATTTAGCTCAGTGGTTCCAGTGCCTGCCTTGTAAGCTCAAGGTCCTGAGTTCGATCCCCAGTACCAAAGGAAAAAAAAAGTGTTATTTTATGAAGTCTACCATGAAAGTATTTTCCCAAGATAAACATAACAAGAACCCATAGCCAGAGCCCGGGATTTAGCTCAGTGGTTCTGCCACCTGCCTCACAAGTGCAAGGTCCCAAGTTTGATCCCAGGTACCAAAAAAAAAAAAAAAGAACCCATAGCTGGATGGAAAGCACACTTTCTGGAAAATGAAAATTTCTTAAAGAGAACAGAAGAGATTGGTTACCAAAGATTAATGTAAAATCTTTGCATTTATTGTAAAAATACTTTTCAAAGGTGCCTTGGATTATCTTTGTCCCTTGCACTTAGGTCTACTTGATGTGCTGATCTTAGGACTCACTGTTAACATTTTTCTGCCTCCTTTGAGTATGTTTCTGGAAATGAAAAATTTCCACTTGCAGGACTTCATCAAGACTGGAGTTATGATGAGACACTTTAGTAACATTATGATAAAGCAATTGATTTCTGCACTTGCTTTTCCCGGATCTTTCATTTCTAATCCATTAAACTTCCTTTTCTGCCATTTTCTGTATGAATTGCCTCAACATCTTTTTGGAAAGGGGAGGGAATTAAACACTAAGTTCTGGAAATCAGGAATGCTCTTTAGCAGGGATACCCTCCCTGGAATGCAAAGGGCTGCCCATGGGGGTGGTTAGAAAGAGAGGAGTCTCGAGGGGGGGATGTTTATATTTGTAGGGATCTGAATTTAAACAAGGGTGTGTAAAGGATGTTGTCCATTTGATAATTGCTATCACTGATGGAATAAAATGTTTGGGCTGAAAACAGAGCAGCATAGACAGAGTGAGGCCAGTCGTGAGTGACTGAGAACTTCCAGGCAAGATGACGGGGGTGGAGCTGTGGATTTAAGATTCTTCAATAGGCATTTTCTGTGTTGGGTCATCTCCAAATTAAGGGTGCCTCTCGGGACTGTTAACTGCCAGCCACGTTGCAGTTCTAACATGGCATGGGTCAGTTGTCACTTGACAAGAGACTGCAGCTGCTCCTTTTACTGTCTCTCCAATCAAAACACGTGTGAGGTTGATTCTGTCTGTGTTAGGTTTAATTGCTCTGCAGAATGTCCTCAAAATGATCTTGCTGTGATTCAGAATTGATACACAGTTATTTTGTACACAGAATGGCATAAAATCAGCCCAGACATGGATCTGATATTGGTGGAACATCCTTATCTTTCATTCCATGGGTTCTTACAGAGGGACAGCCACCCTTTTTGTGGGACCTAAGGCAGGGGGCAGGCACACACAGGGGGAGCTGTCAGCTTCAGTGATCTATGCTTTGTAACAAGCATCCTGGACCGAGCAGCCCCAAATAACAAGTATTTGTATTTCCCTGAACTTTGGGGTTGGCTGGGCTGGTCCTGGTCTGGTTTTGCCTTGGTTCCAGCTGAGGGTTGTGGGTTGGGGTGTCTACCCAGCCTCACTGACACATACTGGTTGTTGGGCATCTTGGTTTCTCTTCATTGTGGCTTCCCGTCTTCCAGCAGGGTGTCACAAGACGAAGGTGTGTCTCCTTCCTGAGAAAAGTGTAAGAGATGTGCCTTGCACACTCCAGGCCAGAAAGCACTGAAATGTGCAGTTGGCTGTCAGCAGCTTAGAAGGCATTCCAGATGATGGGAAACCTCCTCCGCACACCTTGCTTTGAGTCAGAAAAGCGATCAGAAGCCCGAGTCTGCACCAAACCTTGGGAGGCTCCAGGGACCTGTTTCCATCATTTTTTCCTTATCCTTTTTTTTTTTTTTTTATTTTGTACAGGAGTTCTGTGATTGCAGTCTGGGTCAAAATGGTTCTAAATGGCTTTCAGGCAGCAGAAAACAGAACTTGTCCTCAGTAAAGAGGCACTGTGACATGGTTTAAATGGTAGTGTTCTTTCTTAGAAGTCCCTTATTATCCAAAGGATTCATGACATTTTGATCCAGTGAAACTAGAAGGAAAGTCATGGAGAATGACAGGACCAGGCCCCCTGTGACCGTGTGTGTGAGAAGCAGGGGACACAGGGTAACCAGGAAGAGGCAGGGCTGGTGTGGATCTATGTGAATGGGTGCGTGCGGCGAGATCAGCACGTTCATCAGTGAGAGAGAGCAGAGAGAAGGGGACATGAATGTCTTGAATAAAAGTGCTTCCGATGTCTAGTAGAATCCTTGTGACTACGCGGAGGAACTGCTTCCATGCCAGGGATGATCTTTGGGGATTCCTTAGAGCACAGTTCCTTAGTGCGCTTCTTGTGGATACAGTTAATGTCTGTAAAATCTTGTCCACTGTTCTGCCTTCTTTCTGTTTGCAGCCATCCCTGGAAGGCTTAGTGGTATAAGCACTAGTGGTGAGGACTCTGACTTCTCTGCTTGGATCCTGGCTGGCCTCAAAGGCCCGAGGGACTGTGGCCACCCACCTCTCCAGGCCTTAGTTATTAATGGGAGCTGATCTCCTGTCTCATCTCCTCATTTTCTTTTCCTAGACCCTGCAGCAGGCATCTTGCAAGGGCATGAAGTTCTCATTTATACTGTCACAGGTCCCCCTGCAGAGTGTTTACAACACAGAGCAGTGCTGTTTGTCTCTAAGATTCCCACTTTGGACAGAATAAAAGGTTTTATCTAAATGTAGTAGAAGAACCTTAAATAGCACTGTTAAAAATGTTCATTTACCAAGAAAATGACACACACAAAACCCCCCCAGAAGTACATTTTACTCATTGCACATCTATTTTAGCCACTTTTCTCATTGCTGAGGCAAAATACCTGACACCTACAAGTTAAAGGAGGAAAGGTTTATTTCAGCTAACAGTTTTCAGAGGTTTCAGTCCATAGTCAGCTGGCTCTAAGGCACAGTGGCATGGTAGAGGGGCATTGGAGAGGAGAAACAGTCCATGGCAGAGCAAGCAGGAAGGCAGCCAGGAGCAGCAGGAGGAGCAAGCCTGCTTTCCCTTTCTCCCTTATGTTGCATCTAAGCTTCAAGTCCATTGGTTGGTGCCACCCACACCTAGGATGCGGCTTTCATTTTCTACACCCAGAACTATGCTAAAGCCATTTAGTTATTACACACCCTTAATTACAGTATCACACATCCTACATCCAGCTACCTCGGAAAAGCCCCACCTATGAGCATGTAGACTTTGTGGGGACATCTAGATATGAGCCATGACAACATCTGAAATACATTTTGGAGGCAGCCTCATTATTCAACTGGTTCTATTCAATTATTGCTTGGTGAAAGCAGTCAAGCACTGAAAAATACCTCTTCATGAGCCCATCAGTGTCTTACGGGGCCCAATTAACCCAAGATTTTTGTGCAATGAAAATAATTGAATGAAGCTATGCACTCTTATTTTGTTACATGAAATTCAGTTTGCAGCAACTGCATTTATTGTGATTTTAGTATCTATTATTTTCCAAAGATGTAAGGACACTTTAATAAATGTTTAAAGTTGTATTTATCTATTAAAACAAATATTTTATGGTGCAAGCCTCTAAAAAAATCAGTAAATAGTAGGCATTGTATTTATATCACATCAACAATAAGTATATTACTCCTCCTTCAGGCATAGAGCTGAGGAGGCCAGTTCTCTAAATCAGAGTTGTGTGTAGATACAGTAACAGGGACGTGCAGGCTGAGATAGAGGCCTGCCCTTTATCAGCAGGTGCAGCCTTTGAAGTTCAGTATGAACTCAGTACTTTGGAATTAATTGACGTCTGCTGGCTAATGACATCTAGGCAGTCAGCAATGGAGGAAGCATAAGCAGCCTGAAGGTGCCATAGCCAGGTTCAAACACTACTCATTCCCACTTAGCTGACTGTTCAAAGCTGGCACTGTCAGCTGATGGGAGACCTTGACCCACTTCGGATGGACCCAGGACATGTGTGTGGGGACCTGTGCTCTACCCCAGGGTGGGCTGACACTGAGACAGGATGGGATTCAGTTGGCCAAACCAAGTGGCGCCTTCCCTGTCACCCCAGGGAGCTGCCCTTTTGCATGTGGGTGAAATAATCTTGTAAAATACCACTGAAGTATAGGTGGACTGATTGAAAGAGGCTCTGGAGAAAAATGATAGTTCCTAAAGCAGGAAAGAGAAATAAATCCAGTGTGCCTTGGGTTGATTTTCTGCAAACATTTGTAATAGGGAGAAAGACAAATGGCATGACAAGCAGGGGCCTGCGCCTCGTAATTAGGGCTCAAGTGCATTTCAGAGGGGCCTGAGCCGCAGGGGCAGGGAGAATGGGGGTGGGAAGCTCCTGGCACTGGAAGGCAGTGCCTTCTGTTTCCTGAGTGCATGTGGCTGTGACAGCAAGCAGATGACTGACTGTCCATGCATTTGTCCCAGCCCTGGGCAGGTTATGGTGCAGGCGGGGCTGGAGCCCAGGGAGAACACGCATGTGAGAGCCATTCATGGAGTGGTAGAGGTTTTGGTGGCTTTGTGGGTGGCACAGGCACCCCATTTTTAGCTTGCTCTGTGGCCAGGTAGGGGTGGTCACCTGTTTGTGTTGTGCGCTTGGTCTGTGTCCAGCTGCTCTCCTGCTCTGAGCTTGAGGGTGAGGCATCTGTCTTTGTCATTTCCCATGGGTGTTACTCCAGAGATAAGAAGGGAAATGTGGCCTTCATCACAGAGGTCCAAGGCATGGCAAATGGGTCTCAACAACTGGAGTTCAGAGATGCCCAGGAGAATCAGCTAGATCTTTAGGATCCCAGGCAAAGCTTGCTCCAGATCCACAAGCACCATGGACCATTTTCTGTCTCTAAAACTGGCTCTACTGGGATCTCACTGCCTGTGCTTAGGAACACAGCTTCAGCTCACAGGAAAGCCTTCGTAGGTTGAATCATTTTGGTCTCTTGGATGATGAGATTGGAGGACTATTTTCACACTTTAATTTTCAGAAGGAAAAAAGAAAAAGAACAAACCCTGGTAGTTTGATTGTGTGCATGATATTAAGGATACAAGGTAGATGTTTTCAGTTTGGAATCTCTTAAGTGACATAGACAGCATGAAAGAAATGTTTATTTCTATACTTTTACCTCAATCTACTTACAAATGCTTGAGTAAAGATTTTAAAAAAAGAAAAACTAAAAAAAAGACAAGTTTTAGTATAAAGATACCTGTAGTCAATAAGATGGAATTAAGACTGTGCTGGGAATTATTCCACCTCTACGCTGTGATTTGGTTGGGATTTTTTTTGTTCTCTACAGATTAAAAAAAAAAATCTGGGCTTCCCTTCATCATAGCCTTAAATAAAGCTGTCACATGGATGATTTTATACGAGACTTCTCACACTTGGTCTGGCAGGAGTGGTTGTTGAGCAGCGGTTTTGAATCAGGCTTTAAAGTGTGTCAGCAGAGGTCCCCAAAAAGCTCCGCTGCCATCCTCAGTGCCCTGCTGTCACCCCTGGTTCCTCAGATGGTGGCAGCAAGGCCATCTATGGGCTCATCCCCTAATGCGACCCCTGGTTGGAACGCCAATTGAGCTCTCCCCATGGAAGTGTGGAGGGAGGGAACACAGGATTGTCCGCCTCTCTGCAGAAGCAAATGGAGTGGGCTGGCAGAGGCTGTGCCTGAGGTGAGGCTTCTAGGAGGTGCCTGGTCTCCTGCCATGGCCCCCAAAGGAGCTCGTGCCTTCCCTGATCCCCCATGGGGATCTGCAGGACCTAAGGCACTTTCTGCTCTCAATTTGCATCTCAGGCAGAGTCCAAAGAATCTCCTAAGTGTGAGGACATTCCACCTGAAACAAAGGATTCGGTTTATTATGCCAAAGAAGGAAAGAAGAAAACACTGGTAGAACCTTTTGTCCCAAGTGGTGCAGGTAATGTGATGTTTCATCTTGCTGCCAAGAAAGCAAAACACTAACAGACTGGCAGTGTGTGTGTGCATGTGTGTGCAAGAATATTTCCTGACCTGTAACAATCTGATTTTTTTTTGCTTAAATTATTTTATTGGTACATTTTAGGTATACAATACGTTTACATCATGATTCTTATTTTTGCTCCATTACCTGTGCACCCTTCCCTATTTACATAGACTTTGTTTCCATTTTTTCTTTTTTCATAATTTTTCCTTTCCCCTTCTCCTCCCACTTCCCCTCCCCCTTTTGACCTTTTCTTCCTATTTCAAATTATCAATTATTTGTTTTAATCCTTATTTACACTTTCAATTTCTTACACTAGAGAAACTATTTGGTATTTACACATGTGTGTTCTATTTATTTCACTTAAGAGTATCATCTCAATGTGCATCTATTTAGCTGTAAATGTCTCTAGTTTCTCATTCTTTATGGCTGAGTAGTACTCCATTTTATAAAAAACCCACATCTTCTTTATCCAGTTTCCAGTTGATGGGCAGTTGGGCTGTTTCCAAGCTTTAGCTATTACAAACTGTACCGCTATAAACATGAGTGCACATATATTACTGTGGTATGATTCGTTTAATTTTTGGGGGAAGATCCCCAGCAGGGGAATAGCTGTGTCAAATGGGACCTCTAGTCCTAGTTCTTTAAGGTATCTCCATACTCATTTCCACAGTGGTTGCACACCAGTCTGATTTTTAAAATAACATATTCAGCTTGTAGATCAGTGGTAAGTAGAGCTGGAAAAAACCCCACCAACTCTAGAGGCAATGAGTTTCCCCAGGTAAGGAGGCAAAGAGGGGTTGAAACTCAATTCCAGAGTCCACGGGCACGCCAGGGCTCTGTAAGGACCAGCAACCAGAAAATAGCAGTGTATCCTTTGAGGGAAACTTGGATATAAAAGCCACCTAGATTGTTCATGTGCATCTTTGGAGGATGGCTCTCCAGCCTTGATTTTAAAATGAAATAATTTTAAACATTCTGTGACCAATCCTACATCTATTCTTTTCCTGAGCTCCTCCTGGGTCTTGAGCACTGGGCAAAGCCCTGTGCTTGTTCTCTTGTCTTCCCAACCTGCCCCTCAGCTCAGGACTCGGGGACTGGAGCAGGAGGAGGAGGGCCAGGTAGACAGGGCCAGGTGTGGCAGGGCCAGCATTGTAGAGCAGGAAGTCACGAGGGTCTGTGGTCAGACTTCCCATTTGGATGCCTGAGCTCGTCTGAGCCCATATTTATGTCTGTTTGAAGGCTGAAGTTGGCTGGGCCTCTTCTTTTTCTTCTCATCTTGTCTATTGCTTCTGATGAGGTTGAGGAGAAACTTTTCAAAGGCCTTGTAATTTCATAGTCATTAAATATATCCAGTTGTAGTCCTAAAGCGATTTCCAGCTGTAGATTATGATAAGTACCTCACACCACCCAGTTCTTCAATATATTTTTGCAGTTGTATTCCCTTACAGCCTGTGCTGGGGGTCTGCTGTCTGGTGGTTGCTTCGTATTTATTTATTTATTTATTTATTTTTTGTGGTACCTGGGATCGAACTCAGGACCTTGTGCTTGCAAGGCAGGCGTGTAGCTGCTGAGCTAAATCCCCAGCTTCTTTGTATTTATTTCTAATCAGATTAGCTGGACACGGGTTTGTTAGTGTGCACTGTCTTTGACTGTGGCTTGGACCATCTGGCATGGTGGGTGGGCATTGACTTCTGAGGCCCCACCCCTCTATGGAGCCAGAGGCATAGACACTGCAGGAATGGAGGCCTGTTGAGCTCGGGCCACAAGGGAAGTGGAAAGAAAGGGGAAGCGGGTGGCAGAGACGGCACCGCGTAGAGCCGGGACCCTGGCAGGCTGCTGTCTGCTGGCATTGAAGCTAGAGATGCTGAGTTTTCTAACTTAAGTTTGGTTAGAGAATGAGCAGTGAGTGTCGTGGTGGTGCACACCTGTAATCCCAGTACTCGGGAGGCTGAGGCAGGAGGACCACTGTGAGTTCAAGGCCAGCCTGAACCACCTGGCGAGACCCTGTCTCAAAAACAAAACAAAACACAAAAAGCACAGTGGATTTCATTTTCCCCATTGCTTTACACACCTCATTTTTCTTCTTTCCCCAGAAGATGATGTGTACAAAACCCAGACTCCTGCGAAGGGTGCCCAGGGAACACTGGAGATCAAGGAGGACCCGGATGTGAAGGTGGAAGTGCCTGTGGACCAGGTGGGTCGTGGGCCTTGATCCCTGGAAGACTGCTCCCCAGGCCTTGCCTGCCTTGGCCTCTTGCTTATGGCCCTGTCTGGAGCTCTGCCTGGTCTCCGGAAGGCGCAGGCTCTCAGGCTCAGGCGTTTCCCTGTGTCCCCTCCTGGGGCTGTTGGGCAGTGCCCTGTTAGGTCATTGCCTTGGCCTCCCTCCCACAGAGCCAGGGAGCCCAGGAGGGCATAGCCCACGCCCCGCAGCCCCAGGCAGGGTGCCCTGGGCGGTGGGTGGTGCTGTTGGTGGGTGCTGTAGACTGGGGCTCAGTGTCCCTGTCCACACTTGGGGACCATGGTGTGGAGGGAGGGCACTGCTCAGCCTCTGCCTTCTCGGGAGAAGGGCCTGGGTTGCCCCATCGCTGAGCCCACCAGAGGCACTTAGCTGTGGGGGACAAGAATGTCCCAGGGAGGTTGGCGTTGATGCTGAGTCTCACTTTATCCCCTCAGTCGCTAAGGCCCTAGCCTTGCTCCCCTGTCTCTGCAGCCTGGAATCAGGCTGATCAGTGGGTTTTCTGCTTCCCCTGCCCCTTTATTGTAACCTCTGCTGGTTGTCTGTCCTGTGGTGTATTTTTACAGCCCTGTAGCTTGTGCTTGATTTAAACCGACTTCCCACTTCTGAAGGTGTTTGGAGCGCCTTGCCCAAGGGCCCCACTGTGTTTTCTAAATTATTGCGGATGTTATTTGCTCTTTTCCTCATCTCCATCTCCAGGAAAAGAGCAAATAACGTCAGCGATAATTTAGAATGTTAAAAAAAAGATCAAAAGATTTGGTTTTCTGTTAAAACCCAAAACAACAGTTGAGATTTTTTTTTTTGGTACCAGGGATCGAACTCAGGACCTTGCACTTGTGAGGCAGGCATGGCACAACAGTTGAGATATTTTTGTGCACATTTGAGTTTATAGCAATAAGGAGATTAGCACATTTTAGGCAAGTACCTTTATGCCTCATTTGCCCTTGTTGATGTATTTATTGCATTTTGGGGGTTGTATGTTGAAATCGTGTGACACAAATTTTATTTGATATTTTTTTTCTCTTCGCTGCGGGGCATGGAATGCAGGCCCTCAGGCATGGGAGGCACCTCTGAGCCACATCCCAGTTCTGGGCTCAGATTTACTTATTTGTTTTTAATTTTTATCAGTCCATGTTTTCAGTACATGGCTGTAGAGCTTGTGGGGAGCTGGCACATAGACCTAACACTCCTCAATTCTTTTTCCCATTATCTTCCCCTGTCCCCCTACCCCTCCCTCCATCTCCTGGTCCTGTTCCCTTTCAAAAATTATTCATCTCCCTGTTATGTATCATCTATCTTGTATTTCACTCTTTAATTATGTAAGCTTTGGGCTTACATACAAGAGAAACAATGCGATATTGAAGTTTATGTGTCTGATTTATTTCACTTAACATTATGGTCTCAAGGTGCATCCATTTTCCTAAAAATGACTCAAGTTTATCTTTCTTTATGGCATAGTAGTACTCCATGGTGTATAAATACAGTAGACCTTTGACTTATGAATTCAATTTGTACTCCAGGGCTGGTTGTAACTCAGGTTGGTCAATGAAGGCTCAAGCTCCTCCACACAGCCTTCAAAGTCTCTGTCCTGTACACAGGCAGATCTCAGTGTCCTTAGAGAGGCACTGGCCCAGGATTTCTCAATGAACCCCACACAGGAAAGGATGTTGTCATGTTCCTTCCAGAACTCTTTAAGGGTTAAATCTGTATCTGAGACCATCTGGAAGCACAAGCAGCTGGCATTTGGGTAATAACTCAAGACTGGTTGTAAGTGAAAACTAAAATTCTGGTCATAACCCAAGTTGTTTGTATGTCGGGCTGGTTGTAACTAGAGGGTCCGTTGTATTGCATTTTCTTTAACCTCTTGTCTATTGATGGTTGTAGAGGCCACTTCCAAGCTGTAGCTGTGGTGAGCTGTGCTGCTGCTATAACCAGGAGTGTGCCTCACTTTAAGTCTTTCAGGAAGACACCGAGAAGGGGAGGAGCTAGTCAGAGGAGCTGGGCACAGGCTGACTGTGGCTAAGTGTGAAACACGCATGTTTTCTTCCTAGGTACCAGCCGAAGTGCTTAAAGAGCTTGACGATGCACATGACAACAGCCCTAAGTTTGAGGGCATCAAGGTGAGCTCCTCCGAACTCCTGTCTTTGGTCCAGGCTCGGTGCCTGCTCCCTGTGTCTGAGCAGAGCGTGCAGGACCATGGGAGCATCCTGGCCATGTGTCCTGGTGCTGTGCCTCGGATCTGGCTCCCTGTGTGCCGGAAGTCAGGGGCTGATTTCAGTGGTCTTTACCCTTAGTGACCCCTCACTGTACTCCCCAGGGGCGAGGCAGGAGGTGGAGGCTGGTGGTGGCTGTAGGGAGTCTGTGGAGAACACGGCCTTGTGGGAACACAGCAGGGCGGCCCAGGTGTTGGGCCGTCGGCTGCCGGAAGCATGTGCACTGGGAAAATAAAGTTTACTTTACTATTCAACCTTGCAGCCAAGCTTCTGGGCTCCATTTCCGACTTGGTTTCTCCTGATGTCTTTGGAGAGGATTTCTCCTCCATGTGTTTGGGGTGCGGGGATCTGGAGCTGGGTCTGAGTCTGTGTGGACGCTGGGCCTCCAGAGCTGTGTCTGAGCTTGGGGTGCAGTTGGCCCTGTGCACTGTCACCTGGGCTCTAAAACTGGCTCTCTGTCCTCAAGTTTAGGACAGGGGAAGTGACTGCCACTGGCCCTCAGGAAGTTTGTTCAGGTTTTTAGAAAATATCAAAGGAGCTTGGATCCAAAACAGCCAAAAGGAACTGTGCCAGCCCAACATGGTGGTGTGCACCTCTAATCCCAGCACTCTGGGAGGCTGAGGCAGGAGGATCATGAGTTTGAGTCCCACCTGGGCAATTTAATGAGACCCTGTCTCAAAATAAAAACTAATAAACAACTGGAGATGTTGCTCAGTCTGAAGTCTCTGACTTCAGTCCCCAGTACTGCTCCCCCCCCCATAAATTTTTCTCTTTTAACCATTTTCAAATATACCATTCAGTGGCATAAATTGCAGCATTATGTACATGGAAGATATTTTCATCCCACCAGACAGAATATCTTACTTTTCTTGTTGCTGAGACAAAATACCCGCCACCCAAAGTTAAAGGAGGAAAGCATTATTTTAACTCAGTTTGCAGAGGTTTCAGTCCATAGTCGGCTGGCTTCAAGGCAGGGTGGGGTGGCAGAGGGGCCTGGTGAAGGAGAAACAGTCCATGGCAAGGAAGAAGGCAGCAAAGCAGTGAAGTAGCAAAGGAGCAGCAAGCAATAAGCAGCAACCACGGCAGCCCCTTTCTGTCCTTGTATCCTACCCAGGATACTCACCCTTAGGGTGGGTGCCGCTCACACCCACAGTGGGACCCCCTTAATCCTAGCATTGCACCTTGAATCAATCCCAGCATCACATCCTTAATCCCAACATCACACACTATATCCAGCCAATATTTGGCACGTTCATAATATTGTTTTTCTTCCGAATGAAATGTTATTAATCTGAATTAACTGATGAATTAACTGCGAACTAATAAAAATGAAATGTATACTTTGTCCTTTCACCTATTTCAAATTGTATTCATTGGGCACTATTTTGTTTTAGTTTTGGTTTTTCGAGACAGGATTCCACTATGTAGTCCAGGCTGGGCTTGAACTCCCTATGTGTAGCCTAGGCTGGTTTTGAATTTATGATGATCCTCCTGCCTCAGCCTCCCGGGCATTGGAATTATAGGTGTGAGCCACCACACCTGGCTAAGCCGTATTTTATTTTATTTTAAAGCACTATTTTAATTACATGGGTGTTGAGTACAGAGGGAGTCAGGCTGGCCAGGAATGTTCTCCAGTTCTGAGGGTTTTCTAACCCTTTTCACAATCTTCTAGCTTTTGCCTACCTTTGAGAAGGCTGTGTACAAATTTCCTGGTTGATTTTTTATACTCAATAAAGAGAGGGAGGGAAAGGCAAAGGACTGAACTTTTGTCTCTTGGTGAGCATGCCGTGCTCTCAGTCCGCTCAGTCTGAGGTGCTGCCTGCTGCCCCCATCTGCCCTTCTCCCACCTCCGAGGCTCCCTGCAGGACCCCTCTCCTCCACCAGCTCCCTGGTGCCCAGAGCTCTGTCTTCCCGTGTTGGTCTCCAGCAGCATCGTGTCTGGACTTCCGGCATCGTCCGGCCATGTTGGGTTTTGCTAGAGGCACTGGGCACTCAGCCGTCACACTGCAGATGAGTGGGGGTGTTTGGAGGAAAGACATGGGCATAGATGTGAGGTTTGGAGGAAATCTGTGGCCGATTCCCAGCGCCTTTTGCATTCCCTGCATGGAGAAGCTGATCTTGAGTCTGATGGTAAACCTGGAAGATAATAGGTAACCTTTGCCCAGCCAGGGAGGCAGGACAGGAGCTGCTGACCCAGAAGGCTGGAGTGTGGTAGAGCCTGGTCAGGGGAGGTCCCCGAAACAGAGGACTGAACATGAGGGGACTGAGAGATGGAGGGAGGGGAACAGAGAGGAGGGGAGGGGACGGGATGAGAAGAGAATTGAGATGTGTCATGTGCGTGCCAATCCCCAGGGAGAGTATGATCATCGTGCACTGGAAATGTGGACTAATAATAAAAAAAAACAGAAAAAAGAGGAAAAATATAGATGGATATCCAGTGAGACTCAAGAGGCTGTATATAAGAAGTAATCATCATGCCCAAAGCCAAAAATATTTCTCTAGGTGAAAATTAAGCATTTTTCTTTGGAAAACACTATACAGTCAGCAGTTAACCATGGAGGCTGGAGGGGTGGCCCAGTGGTAGGACCGTTGCCTACTATGTGTGAGACCTTGGGTTCAGTTTCCAGTACTACAAAAGAACAAAAGGTGTTGACCAAATTAAGGAGGAAAATAATTGCCACACAAATCAAATTTTCTTAATTTACAAAGCATTGTAAATCAATTCAAAGACAGCCCAGGTAAATGAAACAAATAGGAAATTCACTGAGAAGAATGCAAATTCAGTATATTCACAGTGAGTTCTTTTTCTCTGTTTAAGTCATTTAAAAAATGTCCAGTATTAATAAATGCAGACTGAGGATTTATTTTACAGTATTCTGATAGATAGTTGCATACTGGATTTAGCTGTAAGTATAGATGCAAGAAGGCAGGGGGCTTCCTTAGGGCTGACATATAGATTAGTACAGACTTTTAGGGAAGGAATTGGGTCTTTGTATTGAAATTAAACACACACATATGCTTTGAACCATCATCTCAGTAGGCAGGACTATCCTACAAATATATTAATCAATAGCAATGACAGAAACAAATTCAGCTTTCATCTACAGGGGTTGGTAGATCAAGTTTGGCATCCTTCCTAGAAAGAAAAGCAGGACTGCAGTGAAAACAGTAATGTAGACCAAGGCAGACTGAGTTCTGGGAGCTGCAGATGTTCCTCAGGGTGCAGCAGAGAATATAATGTTGCTTTTTGTGCAGAGATATTTAACAGGCTATACATAAAAATAAAGTATTAATTGAATTAATATGAGAAAATGAAAAAAAGGAAACAAAGTCTTTGTAAATAGGGATGGAGGGGTTGAAGGGAGGGCAGGGGAAGGGGGAAAAATAAGAACCAAGAGAGTATATAAAGGTGCATATTTAAAATGATGAATGTCATTATATTATACACCTAAAATGTACCAATAAAAGGATATACAAAAAAAATAAAGTATTTAGGATGGGAAAGGCGTGGTGCTTAGTGACATGGGAGGAATGGGGTGTCAGAATCACAGGAAGAGGGTGCCCAGGCCTCTAAAGGAAACTCCTGCTGGTATCTATGATGATGAAGAATTTACCTGACAAATGAGGACAGGGGAGGTTAAGGGTTTACAAGATGTCATGGGAAAAGATGGTGAATGCTTACATTTTAAAAAATTATTGCAGTAAAAGACACATTGCCATGAACCCCCTCAAAATCCTCCCCTCACTTTGAACACACTCATCCCATCGTCCTTGCCACTTCCTGCAGCAGCTCTGGAGTCCTCTTTCCTGAGGGTCTTTAGCTACTGTCTTGGCTGCCTCAATGTCCTGAATGGGTTGAAAACATTCCCCTTTCATAGTCAGTCTGACTTTGGGGAAGAGCCAGGAGTCACACAGTGCCAGATGTGGTAACTAAGGTGGATAAGGCACAGCGTCGTGTTTTAATTTTAATTTTTTTTTTTTTGGTATCGGGGATTGAACTTGGGTTCTTGCGCTTGCGCAGCAGGTGGCGAAACCACTGAGCTAAATCCCCGGCCCCAGTGTCGTGTTTTTATGAGCTCCCTTTTCCACTGAATGGCACTGGGCAGCAGCAATCCCTGTATTTTGATCACACCTGGTAAAGTGTGTTTGAAACAGAGGGGATCCAATTGAGGAGGTTCGTGACAATGTGCCTTTTATTGCAATAATTTTTAAATGTAAACATGTACCATCTTTTTGATCACCTCCTTGTAGATAAGCATCTTTTTTTTTTTAACGGGTACTTAATTCCTATATTTTTTTAATAGGAAGAAGAAAGGCGTTATGAAGATACTGAAAGAAAGGTTTGTATAAACATAGGATAGTTTTGTTTCCCATTCTGAAGATGGGGCAGCTTATGGGGCCTCAAATCTTGCCACTTTTTTTTTTTTGGTACCAGGGATTGAACTCAGGTCCTTGCACTTGTAAGGCAGGTGGCGGAACCACTGAGCTAAATCCCTGGCCCTGCCACTTGCTTTTTAGGAGAACAACTATACCTGTCACAGCTATACCTGAGCTCTGCTCCCAGAGTTAGAAAACAAACTCAGAGGAAAAGAAATCCCACAGCACTGGGAAATCCCACGCCATGGACTCTCCTCTGAAAATGCCAAGAACTCCTTTTAGGGCTGCCCAAGTCCTCTGCCCCAGACCCAGGGCTCACTCCATGCCTCCAGGAAGCCCTAACATTGCCCCTTTGGACCCCAGCCTGGGCTGGGGGAGGCAGGGCTCCCCAGGGCCAGGCTCCGGCCAGCCGTGTCCCCACCTGGCAGCTGGAGGTGCTCTGGCTTGGGCTCAGCATAGCCCCATTCGTAGGGGGTTCAAGTTCCCGGGGTTAATTTGATTTCTCATGGGTTATATTTTTGTGATGATGGTGCAAATTAAGAGAGACTTATGAAGAACAAGGCCCCCAGCCATAAATTGGAAAACATAAACTAAAATTCTACATCACAAATCTCAGTGTTGAATTGTTCTGCTTCTGTCCTGTACAGGATTGTCAGTGATTCCCAAGAAAATAAACTCGGGGCATGCCTTGGGACACTGGGATG